TAACTAGGTTGCTGGAAACAATCTGGTGAAGAAAAATGTGAAAATAAAGAATGTATTGCATTAGAAAGATCTACAAAAGCTTTGAACAATACAAAATTTTGTTGCTGTCAAGGGCATTACTGTAATATTAACATTACGAGTTCCAATCTTGCTTATCCAGATAACAAATCATCTAATTCTGTTTCTTCGCAAAAAAGTCAGCCAAGTAAGTTTAATAGCAGCATTAATAGCAATAAATAATATTAAAATAAATTATATTAGTTTGTCTTTAATTTGATATTTTATATAAAGCAATTAAAAAAACATTTTTTGATATATTATTTTATAATAATTTTCAGCTAGAGAATATCTTGAACAGTCAAACTCTGAACGATGGATGCTTATTATAGTAAGCGTCATAGCATGTACACTGCTAATAATATTTACTATAGCAATGCTTATATATAGAACGTATCGTAACAATATTTTAGCAAGATTAGGAAAGCCATTACCTTATAATGATCAGTTCATGGATAGTACAGCGTTAAGAACTGGTACTTATACAGTTGATCATTTGAAACTCGCAACTATCGTTGGTATGTCTTCGTTAACTATCTTATGTAAAAATAATAATATATTTTGATTATATATAATATAGTTTAATAAATACTTAATTCTGTAAATTATAATAATATTACAGGTCAAGGACGATATGGATCAGTTTGGCAAGGCAGTATGGGAGATCAAGATGTTGCAGTTAAAATTTATCCCTCACACTATCGCAATTATTTTCAGAATGAAAGAGATACTTATTGTTTACCTTTTATGGAACATCCATCATTATTAAGCTACTATGGTTAGTATTTTTTTTAGTATTAAGATGAAATATATTGAAAAGAACGGTAATAATTTTTTTTTATGTCTGAATATGTTGACAACTAGATGTGGAATACATTTAACTTATATTTCGATTATAGGCATGGATGAAAGAATAAGTATGGAAGGTAGTGTTGAATATCTTTTGGTATTCAGTTTTGCTCCAGGTGGTAGTTTAACAGACTTTTTACGAACGCACACTATTGACTGGACCACATTCTGCAAAATGAGTCTTTCTATAGTTAAAGGACTTGCTTACTTGCATACAGATATACGCAAAGGTGGTATGTATTGCATCATTTTTTAAATTAAATTATAATATTATTAGTATTATAATAAATAAATATTATCAGTATCATAATAAAAACTTTTAATAAACTTATATAAATATTGATTTTGTAGACAAGTTTAAGCCATGTATTGCACATAGAGATATAAATTCAAGGAATATATTAATCAAAGCTGATGGCACTTGCTGTATTTGCGACTTGGGATTAGCAGTTCAGATCTCCGGATCTAAATATTATTCTAATGGAGAAGAGCAGCATGCTGAATTAAAATCAATTAATGATGTAAGTATGATGTAATATCTAAATTTTTGAAGATATTTCACAAAAGTGTCTAACAAAATTTATCATTTTAGGTGGGCACTCTGAGATATATGGCTCCAGAAGTGTTGGAAGGCGCTGTTAATTTACGAGATTGCGAAAGTTCTTTAAAACAGATAGATGTTTATGCAATGGGATTAGTTCTTTGGGAATTAGTTACAAGATGTTCTGACATTTATATTCCTGGATCGGAAGTACCACAGTATAAACAACCATATGAAAATGAAATAGGTTTGTATATATTTTCAAATTGTCCACAATAATAAATTGTTTTCATCTTTTTTATTATATGTTTTCTCTATCTTTTTTAGGTCTTCATCCAACATTTGAACAGATGCAGGTCTTAGTGTCGCGTAACAAAGCCAGACCACTTTTAGAGGGTAATTTAGTGGACAGACCAGGGGTGCGTTTGATTAAGGAAACCATGGAAGACTGCTGGGACGCAGATGCTGAAGCTCGTTTAACTGCTTTATGTACAGAAGAACGTCTTTCAGAACTGCAGTCTCATCGTGGTAATAAATTTATCAATATTTAATAAATTATTATTTTTGTCCTATATATTATCTAAATAAAAGTATCCTTTGTAGTTACAATGCATTTTACCGATGGAAGTCCGATGGTGAATTCTCATTGCACCCTAGTGCCTTCAACAACAAACAGTCTTTATAGCGAATCTTCGCATCATGATAATGTACATGTTGTTCAACTTGCACTGAATATGGTGCAAGATGGTAGTGCTAATGACAGTGCAATAGCTGAAAATTTAGTTACATTATCACCGTCTGACAGTGTTGTTCATGAACACAGTTGTAAGTAATTTTGATGAATAAATATGTATCCTATAACACTTGTAATCTCATTTCAGTTCAATTCCTAATGGCTTGTTTATATTTCAGTCAAAAATTCAAATGAAGTAGCTATATATAATCATACTCAAACGCTTCAACCTTATCAAGGTAGAAATCCATGTATGGAAAGAAATTTGATGTTACAATCGGATTCCTTGGAAGATTTAGGTTGCAATGGTAATGTTCTCGTGGATAAATCGTTGAAGCACGCGTGTAACGATCAATATAAAACCGCTACAGAAGCACAAGGTCTGGTTTCGCATGATTACTTAAGCCAACATACTACTCAATTAACGCAACTCAGACCGGCAACGCCTATACCATATGTTCAAAACGTGATTTCTGACGAAGGATCATCTTCATATAACAAGCGAAAACAAACGAACATACACGATTCGTCTATCCTAGAAAGTCCACGAAAGAAATTATTTGTCTGGCCGAATCTGAAAAAACTACTCATCAACAAGAAAATGTATCCCTACAGCAGATACCAAATAGATAGAGAGGATTCCAAGTCAAATTTATTATCAAAGCAAAATATTCAGATTAAAGCTGTTGAAACAAACGTAACAATCTCATCTGGAGGCAAATATGTAAATGGCATCATTGGTAAGACTTCCACTTCAGCAATGCCAATAGAAAAGAATGACAAAAATGTACAAACGGGGAAGCATAAACAATATGACAATGATAATGTGACATCCAATGCGCGTCCTTCCACTTTGCCACTTGTAAATTTAAGAAATAAAAAGAGAGAAAACAATCTGAGCCGACAACAAAGCATCGATAAATTTAACGAAGTTTTTAATGTGGGTTCAAACGTGAATAATGCATTGAAGGATCCACATATGAGAATAAAAACGCCTGGTGATCTACCGCCGTCTGTTAGGAAAATTCGTGGTCGTGGACAGTCAACGGCGAGATTTTCGCTTTACGACGATCGTATGATGTGCAATATCCTGAGCGAAGAAGATGATCGAAGTGACAAAGCCATTTGGAATTCTGTGCCATTTGGTATGGATCTCGGTGATAGTGACGGAAAACATTCACCAACGAAACTCAGTACCAAAAATGTTACATGCTTTTAAATCAGATTATGATATTAATGTATTGTAAAGTCTTTATGTCTATAATTTAGTCATGAAAAGAAGAAGAATGCTGTAGAAAATCTTCAGCTTCAATTTGTGTACAGAACTTGTGTATAAGGAAGTTTTTATACTCAATGAAAATATATTGCTACAACATAAATGACACTAAACGATGACATTAAAAGGAAATTAGAAAAAGATGATACTCAGAGAAACTCGTGCTACTCAATTGGTTTGTCATATTATATTGATAGCATATTTTGTGTGTGCATCATGAATGCTTTTCATGAAGTAGATGATTGAATATGCACATGATAATTATAAATAGAAAATAGAAAATCAAATTGTCTTGCAATCTATGTATGCTGAACTATAAGAGAAATGGGTTTGTTCGTCATAACTCTACTTTCATATATATGTGAATCATCTTCTTTATAGTCAATATTTTCTTTTTTTCAATTTGATATTTATAGAATTAATGCATTCAGTGTAATTAATAAATACATAGACAATCAATGTTAACATTTACATCACGTCGTAAAACATTGTTAACATCTTGATGTGTAATTGACTTTTAATCATTTCACAGCATTTAAAAGACATAATCTCTATACATGTAATGTAAAACAACAATCTCTTAATGTTAATATTTATGGAATATTCTCCATTTGATATTATTAGTCGAATATTTACAAAATTACGGACGAAAGTAAAAGCAAATTTTATTTTTTTTATTATAAAATTTATTATGAATTTTATACTCCAGAATTTTTTGTATTTACTTATGTATTTATAAAATATAATTTAAATTTTAAATAAAATTTAAAGGCTCTGCTGATTAAACAATCAATATATAAAAAAGAAGGAGCGTAAAGAGCCAAAAACGCTAGATTTTTGTGCGAATCAACTTGTGTATTAGGCTATATCATCTTATAAACAAATTAAATTTATATAACAATGTGAGAAGGGGATTTCGATTAATATACGAGCCTAAGGACATATTTTATTTTAAATTTATACATATATATAAGTTTTAAAGAAATTGTACAACAAATTTGTTCATTAATATGCAACGATATTTATCAGATGTACGAATTTACATTTAATGCAAAGCCATTAATATAGGTGATTATAATTATAAAGTAGAGGTAGCAAAAGATATATATTTCAGCACAAAGTATAATATTTTGTTTGGAATTGTATAGAATTACATAAAAGTTTTTTTTTCCGTCTGATTCTGTTTGTGAGTTTAGTGTAAATATCTGTAGTATAAAAAAACTATTCAGATGCGTTAAATGTACTTGTTATGTTATGTTATGTTAAAAATATCGCGTAGATTTTCTTATGTTACACATTTTGTGGTACTTTAACATGTTATTATTGATAAAATTAAGATAAATATGATTATGCAATTCATAATAAAGTACATCTTTTGTCGAAAATATTTGTTCTTTTATTTAAAATTACATAAACATATTATTCTATAAGAAATATTTATAAGATAAATCTGAAAAATATTTGTGGAAATGTTTTAATTTTACGAGATAAAAATTCTTTAAATATTTGTAGAATTATAAATCCTTGCATTTCTTTTATTCTCTTTTTACCTTTTGATCCTTTTCGATAATAAACCACTTCAATTTTTATTTTATAAAATAATACTATATTCAAGCATTTATAAATTTCCGCTATAAATTACATTATTAATAATACAATATATATTATTAAATTAAATTATTAAATTAAATCATTAAATTATATATTAATTATGTATAATTTTTTATACTAAAGTATTTTTTTATTTAACCAAATCCCATGCTTTCACGTGTTACATCATAAGAAAGATAAATCACTTTAGACAACGCGTAGACAACGTAATGTCAGAGAGAAGACTGAGAGTGGACATGCCCGCATTTCTGCACGTGTTTCTGTGGGCTAGCGACTTTATGTGCACAAAACGTGTACATTGAACTACGTAGCCAATGTCCACGAATCCCGTAAGTAATGTCCACGATCTTTTGGGCCTCTTCCGTGCTACGTCCACGACTTTTTGGTTCCGATATGTGCTATATCTACAAAGTGTCCTCACAGATATCGGGAGAGTGGAGCCACCGCGGGCGGAGTCCCATGAGTCGGGCCCCAACAGGGCCGGTCCGAGCGAGGGAATCAGGGTCACGAGGGCGCAAACCTCGCAAACCCTGGCCGAAAAGCGTCCTAGGGGCAGTAGGGGGGGGAGTCAACTCTCCCCTCCAGCCCCAGAAGGTGCGTGCTCTCTCCGCACTTCGATTACCACCGGATAAACCGGGCTCGAGGAGTCGGAAAGGAGGAGGAGAGTCCCCTACGGGTCGGGCAGCATCCGACTACCCCCCCCTCGGATTGAGGGGGTACTGATCGCTGTCCACATGTAGGCGGGGCCATCGGGCTGCGGCCCGAAACGTTATTACGCGGAGGGTGAAGGGGGAACGTGGGACTTCCCCCCATACATACGGATTGCGCCGGAGTTCCGGCAGTCGGGGGAGGGGGGTGGCCGGATGTAATACGTTGCGGTTCCCGGCCATCCCCCAACAACGGCGGCTGATGGCAGCGTAACGGGAGTGAAGTTTAGTGGGTAGGCGCCTAAGGGTCTCTCGGTTTCGTATCCGAGTGCCAGGCGAATCCTACACTATCCTTTGGCAGTGAGTTCTTACAAACTCACATTGCACGCCAGAGGGTGTCTTTGGAAGATTCTTTACCCCCGCACAAAAGAAAAAAAAGTAAATATTCAGTAAAAACTTTAATTTAACTTTATTCTAAGTTGGAAGAATTGAAATTATTTACTTTTCAAGGAATAAAATATTATTATGATACTAAAATACCTCATGGGACAGTGAGCGCCGAGCGCTGACCAACGTGGTGGGCACGGATCTCTCTCTCCCGGCATTGATTCAATCAATGCTGGGAGGGGAGGATAAGTGGAAGACCGTCTCCTCCTTCTGCGACCAAGTGATGTTGCAGAAGAAGGAGGCGGAAAGAACCAGAAGGAAACGGCGGCGGGAATCCTCCCCCAACTAGGAGGAGATTAGTCCCTCGCCGCCGTCTAGCCCATTTAAGGGTGTAAGTAGTGGGTCCCCTGGATCACAGACCATACCGGCCTGGACCCAGGAGTCCTTGGGGGGGGAGGGGAAAAGGGGGGGGGAAAGCTCTCCTCATCCCTCCCAAACATAAATCAATACAGGGAGGAGTATTATTATTATTATTACTACCCCTCCCAGCGGGGACTGGTCAAGGGCCTTGGTCATCTCCGGCCCCCCACAACATCAGGGAAGGCAAAGAAAGGTCGCGGTGACTCGACCTTTTCCTCTAGGCAGGACACTGGGGCAGGGCGACAAAGAACCCTACCCCGCGAAGAGGCTGGATACATGGCCACGCCTGAGGGGGAGCTGTGACGAATGCCCAAGGCGATACCCGGCTCTCCCTCATGGCAAGGAAGATCACCGGCGGGGGTTTTAGTGGGTATACCAGGGATTTCTTCCCTGGGTACTCCCACATAACCCACGGATTCTCCCCCGAGACCCGTAAGTATCCATGAAGGATTTCCCCCGCCTACACAAAACAAAAAAAAACAACAAAAAATACTAAAATACCTATTAATAAATAAATGCAATTACCTGAAAGATGATTCGTTAGGCCTCGTATATTTTATTGGCGTTGGTGTTGACGTTGACGATGGCGTAGGCGTAGGAGTTGGTGTTGGCGTAAGCTTTGGCGTTGGCGTAGGTTTTAGCATTAGCGTAGACTTCGGCGTTGGGGTTGGCGTGCGCGTTGGCGACGGCGTGGGCGTAGACGCGTCCGCAAACTTGATCATTGACATAGGCGTGGCCGCAGGGCCATTCTTCAATAAGTCGCTAATGTCCAGCATTAGCGACGCATTATAGAGTGGCCCGTAGCTATGTAGCCTAGCCCAACCGTAGCCGCAGCCGCATTCGTAGGCACCAGCCGTAGCCGCAGCCGCAACCGTTGCCGCAGCCCTTGCCGTAGCCATAGCCGTAGCCGTAACCGTAGCCGCAGCCGTAGCCATAGCCGTAGCGGTTGCCATCCATCATACGCAACGGACAAGAGCGGAGTTAATCTGTAAAATACAAAATCGAGTTCAGATTAATAATGTGTTAAACTTAGTATTTTAAATAAAATTATTGTACATATTAAATTTTTTCTTTATTTCCCATAATTTTTAATCAAATTCTTATACATTGAGAAAAAACTAATTTTTTAGTAAATATTCAGTAAAAACTTTAATTTAACTTCATTGTAAGTTGAAAGAATTGAAATTATTTGCTTTTCAAGGAAAAAAATATTATTATGATACTAAAATACCTATTAATAAATAAATGCAATTACCTGAAAGATGATTCGTTAGGCCTCGTATATTTTATTGGCGTTGGTGTTGACGTTAGCGTCAGCGTGGGCGTGGGCGTTGACGATGGCGTAGGAGTTGGTGTTGGCGTAGGCTTTGGCGTTGGCGTAGGTTTTAGCATTAGCGTAGACTACGGCGTTGGGGGCTGGCGTGCGCTTTGGCGACGGCGTGGGCGTAGACGCGTCCGCAAACTTGATCATTGACGTAGGCGTGGCCGCAGGGCCATTCTTCAATAAGTCGCTAATGTCCAGCATTAGCGACGAATTATAGAGTGGCCCGTAGCTATG